TGTTACTGAGAGCGAGCTTTTCAGCCATTGCTATTGACCAGGTTCACAAGCGGAATAACAGTCTAGATAAATCAAACGGTGGAGCAGTGGGGCTCTTTGACAACCAGACAGCTCTGTTGGATGGTTGGAGGCCCTGAATCTGCCAGACTGATCACTGAATTTGAGAACAATATAAATAATGATCAAGATGAAGACCCATATAATCATGAACAAAGTATAAGCATACAACAAAGATTCAAAGATAATGTGAAACTATTATCAGAAACCATAGAATAGATGGGAAATCCTTTCTGGAGACTTCAAATGACTTGTACTCATTAGTCAGCAAAGATATTGTATCAGTCCAGAAGAAGTGAGTAGCTCCCATAATACTATCATATTATTTCATACTCATGAACATAATTTACTTAAATCACTCCCATCAGTAGGATGGCAGGACAGTAGGATTGCAGGACATGATTACGTGCACAATCATGAGCATGAGCTCTCTCAGGGCAGCATGTGCGCAAAGTATAATGTGAAATTGTGGAGATGGCAGAATAAGATGAAGATGAAGGTAACACTATTTAAGTTAATCGATCCAAACTTGTAGAGAATAATCATAAAACAACATTCTGCTTGAGAACCTGGTTCATCTTTGGGAAATGGAGCAAAGTGGCCAGGATCAGTACAAATTGTACACTAAAGAAAAACTGGGTGACAGATCTAAACAAATAACAGACACTATCTATATAAAAAGAAACAATTTTCTAATATTCAAGTAACAGAAAACAAAAGTGAATGTTACCAAGGAAACAGCATTGAAAAAATGATTGTGCTCTCTTTTCAAGACTGTTAGGGATAAAGGAATTTTTCAGATAAGCCTTAATTAAGCTGTTTCCTCCTGTTCATCCTGCAATCGTTTTGATGAGTTTAAATGATAAAACATATATTCCTGCACACGTTTTCACTTGTTGAGCACTCGTCAACATTACCGTTTACTTAATATTGAGGGGTTTAACAGGGGTCCACAAAAAATTAAAAAATATTAGATTTGGATATTTTTGAAGTTTACAACGGATTATCTACTTATGCATCGGTTTTTAGAAAGGTTATTAGCATGACATATTGATTTTATCTGTTTAATTGAAAATAAGATCGTCTGTCTGATTATATTTTGCATTAAAAATGATTAAAGAGGATTGTTCCATTAAGTTCACTTTCTTTTAACATCACCTTGTTTTTTGTTGATCCGCCAATTGTTTTGATATCTTTAAATGATAAAACATATATTTCTACATATGTTTTCACATGTTGAGCACTTGTCAACATTACCATTTACTTATTATTGAGGGGTTTGACAGGGGTCCACAAAAAATAAAAAATATTAGATTTTGATATTCTTGAAGTTTACAACGGATTATCTACTTATGAATTAGTTTTTTGGAAACTTATTAGCATGACCTACTAGCACCTTATATTTTTTACTTTTACTGGTACTATTGATTGGTACAATTGACTTCTACAACAATAAAATGCTAAAGGTCAGTTGGCAGAACTAGGAGATTTTCGTTTTACATCAGGAATAATCTATACGCACTTTTCAAGATGTTGGAAGGGGAACCCCCTTAATTTGCAGAGCCCGGTGTGTACATGTACCAATCGCTAAATTCCTCCATCTATTGGTATATCTGGGCTCTACAAATTAATTGGGCTCCCCTTCCGACATCTTGAAAAGTGCGTAAATATTCCATGTAAAAGGAAAATCTCTTGGTTCAGCCGATGAACTTATGCAATTGGGGATTCAACCTGTACATAATAAGAATCCAAATACACTCAGAAATGTATTGAGGTAAGTCATTTAAGTTTGCAACACATAGTACTTTCTCCTGGGATTGGATAAGCACTGCCTGAACAATCATTGGAGCGCAGGACTTTAAGTCCTGGAATTGCAGAGCTGTCAAGTGTCCCGCGAATGGTGGGATTATCCCGCGAATTTGATCAAAATTAGGCTAATTCGCGTGTCCCGCGAAGTCCCGCAAATGTGGCTTTGACCTCCGCGAATTTCCGAAATTGTTGCAATCCCCTATATTGTGATTATCTTATCTTTTATAAGAAGCTAAGTTTTTGCACTTTTGAGGAGTAAAGTTTACCTAATTTTAAGTACCTAGCATGCTGTTGTTTGGTATCAAAATAAAGGGGAAAGGTTCAACTTTCATTTTAATTACGAAAATAGGGATGTAGGTCACAAATAGTTCCAACGTTGGCCTTTTTACTACCCGTGTGGCCTTCATCTCAGAACTGAGCAAATATTAGCAAACGCGAGTTACAATAAATGGACGCTGATTTCTAGAAAGGGTTTGTAGAAAAACACGGGTACCGGGTAGTAAATCCTCCATGCTGGGTTCAAACTTGGTACCCGGTCAAAAAAAACGGGAACCCAAAAAACGGAAAATACGAATACGGTATATAACATAATAGATTATGAGAAAACGTGTAAGATTTGTTTTGAATTTACAAAAATGTATGTAACATCCTTCAAAATTGAGCTAGAAGCTTCAAATAAAAAGCATATTTTAAGGCTCTTTTCTTCCTCTATCGTCATGGTCATATTTTCATTGGTTATGGGGGGGGTGCGATCGCACCATCGCACCCTCTCCTGGCTACGCCTATGACATTGTAAGACATAACAATTTACAATTCAGTGGACAATTTGTCGAAAATTGGGATAACTTAAATTATGATTAATAATCAAAATCTTACACGTTGCATCATTTAAATTAACACACGTCACCTCTCTGCTAAAGCAACGATAGCTATTTACAGGTTTAAATCATAATCAAAACAATTCATGTACCAACATACGAAGTATTGAAAATAGAGTAAGATTGATTTGTCTTGTTTTTTACATCGTCTTACAATGTCATTGGCATAGCCAGGAGGGGGTGCGATCGCACCCCCCCCCCCCTTCATTACCAATGGAAATATGACCATGATGATAGAAGAAGAAAAGAGCCTTAAAATGCTTTTTATTTGAAGCTTCTAGCTCAATTTTGAAGGAAGTAACATACATTTTTATAATTCAAAACAAATCGTACAGGTTTTCTAATGATCTAATTATGTTGTATATTCGTATATTTCGTTTTTTGGGTACCCGTTTTTTTTGACTGGGTACCAAGTTTGAACCCAGCATGGAGGATTTACTACCCAGTACCCGGTTTTTTCTACAAACCCTATCTAGAAAAGTAACCTCATTTCCTATAATTTGATGTAGATTAATCGAACCCCTATATCATGGGCTTTCAATTGAAAGCCCATGCCTACAGTATATGAATAGGTACATTTTAATATATAACATTATGGGGGTAAGCGTTTCAGTTGGTCACGACGCCAGAAGTGCAAAGTATTGTTCCAAATTTTTGAATTTCGTGTTAGATTACGGTAATCACACCTGAAGCATGGTTTTTGTTTTTGATAAATTACAATGAAGTATAATAATATTCCTATGCGTATTTTGTGAAATTGTGTTGACGTTTATTTAAGTTACAATGTAACGGTGCATTATATTTGATTAATCAGTATCTGAAAGTTTGATTTAAGTACTTTTACACGCTTTTACATTAGTCCCAATCACGCAAATCCCTTGAATGTCCCGGGACATCCTGCAAATTTAGGTGGATGTCCCGCGAAATCCCGCAAATTTAGGGCACTTTGTCTAAAAAATCTGTCCCTCTATGAAGTTTTTGGTGGTACCCCTGTTAACTGTCCCGCAATTAGGGTGTTTGTCCCTCGAATGGTCCCGCGAAATCCCGCAAATTTTATAAAAAAAAATTGGCCTATTAGCACAATCACGCAAATCCCTTAAATGTCCCGCGAATTTAGTAGATGTCCCGCAAAATCCCGCAAATTTTGGGCACTTGGTCTAAAAAATCTGTCCCGCAAGAAAATCTTTAGGGGTTGACAGTACTGGAATTGGATAAACTTTAAGTGAAGAAGCATTTAATTTAAGGCTTTGTATAAAAAACCTCCTACCTTATACCCACTTACCCACCTACGTGGGACATGAAACAGTCATTGAAGGGTTCAATTTAAAAGATTTTTAAATCTCAAAATAGCTCCAATTATTAATATTTCTACAATTCCGGCTTTATTTTATGACTAGACGGATGACATATCCATAAATAAAGGCATATGGGTGCATTGTAATGTGTATTGACCCGAGGGAGCCCCAGGGGAATAACTTACTAATGACCCCGAGCATAGGTCCAACAAGCCAGATAAAGAAATCTTTAAAATTGAACCCTTCAAAGACTGTATCATGTCCAAAGTACGTGGGTATGAGGTAGGAGGTTTTTTATACAAAGCCTTAATTTAATTTAAAATAAGATCTAAGACCTACATCATCCCTGGCGTCGATAGGCACATTCTGGTTGAGAAGGAATTCTACAACATCAGAGTGACTCCCTGAGCAAGCCCAGTGTAATGGAACACGGCCATTCTGCAAATACAAAGAAAGATGTGACAATTTGAGGACAAACAATTTTGAAAATACAAAAAAAAAGAAGTGACGATTTGAGTACAAACAATTTTAAAAATACAAAGAAGTGACGATGTGAGTACAAACAATTTTGAAAATACAAAGAAAGATGTGATGATGTGAGTACAAACAATTTGCTTACAATATATTGAAGAAACGGCTTTGTATAAAAACCTACCTCATACCCACCTACGTGGAACATGATAGTCATTGAAGGGTTCAATTTTAAAGATTATTAAATCTCAAAATAGCTCAAATTATTAACATTTCTACAATTCCAGCTTTAATTTATGACTAGACAGATGACAGATCCATAAATAAAGGCATATGGATGGATTTTAATGTGTAATGACCCGAGGGCGCCCCAGGGGAATAAATAACTAACGACTGCAGGCCTGTCAACTGTCCCGCAATTTGCGTATTTGTCACGCATTTGCTGAAGAATTTGAAGTCACGCCAGTTATTTTTGCGTGACAGAAAATGTCACGCAAATACGCATTTTACCTGGTAATTGTCAAGCAAAAATATTTCTGTCGAAAATTTTCTAAAAAAGATCGTCTACACAGCAAAAATACGAACGACGGGAAAAAACGTACGCATTTCGTTCGGACTTTTCACGCGAAATATGAATATGTCACGCATTCCGTTCGAAATTTTTCGTACCTGTTGTTAGCTGCCTTGTTTATAGGAACTATAACATACTCTTCTTTTAGTCTGTTTAATTCATGTATAGCGCTTCGAGATCCATGGATCTCGAAGCACTTGTTTTGGATTTCTTATATGCTTTAATTTTCCTCTTTTGAGTCAATCAATTTTCTCTTTCACTTTAGACATTACTTTAATTGTCCATTCATTAATGCTGATTCTACTATATTTTCCTTTTTAGTCCATTTCTTTGCACATTCTTTTTTTCCATTCTTGATTTCTCGGTAAGTGTTGTCGAAATTTATATTTCTTTTCTCCCTGTAATTAGGTCCTTTCTCAAATAGCTTCCTTAGTTTTGTGTTTTCAATGATTTTTAGGTCTCCTGTTACAACATGTTGATGATCCCCATTATTGAATTTTGAAGTATTACATCTGCATTCTAGTTCTTCATTGTTATCTCCATCGTTTAATTCTTCTGATATGTCATTGGGCTATTAGACAACTCATCCTTGGACAACTCATCCCCTAGACAACTCATCTCCCTTAGAAAAAAACAACTATTTTTTCCGAATTTCAACCGTTAAAAACCATTGCGTAACCATTAAAAATCATTGCGTAACCATTGCTGCAACCATTTGAAATGGTTTCCAACCATCACATTTCAACCATTAAAATTTGGTTGAAAATTTTGGTTGCATATCATTGAAATTATGGAATCATTTGCAACCATTACAAACCATTGATTGTTTAAGTTGCATTTTACCAAATGGTTGCAACTATTTTCAACCATATTATGGAAATTATTTAGTTTAAGAATCACGCCTATCCATCGACAAGGTACAGTCACATGACAGTGACAAAATATACCGTAGTACACTTTTGATGTACGATGTCACTATTAACTGATTTTAAGCAAAGACTATGGTGTAGGTTTGATGCAGGTTTTCAAAAATAGATTTGAGGAATACATAAACACGGGGTACCATCGAATAATTTTGGCAACGTACCGGAGAAAGACATTTTACTAAGAAATGGCAATAATTTAGCACAATATATTTTTTAACTAGAGTTCTATTTTGATTTTGACAAAAGTAAGTATTCCATGCAATAACTATTTCATTCATGAGTTTGTAGGAATTCTGTTGGAACCCAGTTCTGATCAAGTACGAAGTTATTGAAATCGGCGCAGACGGACTTAACTCCGAAAGATGGTTTTTCGATTATAACTTTTCACAACATTGAAGTATAGACTTTTGAAAAAAGTACAGAATAGTCCTTATACTTTTGAATAATTTTGTTATTTCTGATTCACAAGACTCTGATTTGTTTAATTAAAAAAAAATATTTAAAAATATTACTTAGGAACGTAACCGGAGCAGATCAGTTGAATTATTTAATCAATAATCAAAAAAATTAAAATATATGATTTAAAGCACATATACTAATTTAAAAACATACGGGATTGTTCGAATGCGTATTTATTACATTTTATTTAAAGAAAAAAATTATCCATTGTGAAAAATTAAATTTGGTATTTACCATGCATAAGTGCACTTATCTTAGAAAGGCTATCAAACATAGAACAACCATTGTATGGAGAATGAAGTGATTAAATGTAGTAAGCAAATAATACATTTGATTTCACCCATTGTATTTGTTCAGCGAACTATTAGAACCCACTCTGTTATACTAATTTCGTATATATATACTGTTTATACATACATTTATTCCATAATACTACTGTTTTCCCAGGGAAATATGAAGGAATAAAAATCGTATTGAATCGTATTACATGAAAAAATCGTATTGTCCCTGGGAAAAAAATCGTATTGGAGCGTATTACATGAAAAAATCGTATTGTCCCCGGGAAAAAATCGTATTGGAGCATATTAACCTATTTTCGGTTTCCCGGTTATTTTTTACCAGTTATCTGCATTTTCCAAATGTAGCATTTTAGAGGGGTGTATTATGGAATAAATAGGTTATTACTGGTCGGGATTGAATATGGGTTTTATTCCTCGGAAAATATGATATTGACCTTGGGCTATATGATATTGACACTCGGTCGCTGCGCTCCCTCGGTCAATATCATATTGTCCCTCGGAATAAAACCCATATTCAATCCCTCCCAGTAAATAACCTATATGTATTATACTTCTAAGACAACTTCTCTTTTTCAGGGGAAATAAAAGCATTTAAATGCTAGATTATTAAAAAGGTTAGGATACAACGAACTGTATATAGCGTAGGTGTGTTAAGTACTTGTCATGTGCTCGACCAAATCGAATCAACATATGCTTTCTGAAATTCTTCACCTAACCCCCCCCCCCTCCATATAAACGTAAGCTGTTTGAGTGAGTGCCCGTTTATTGTTTTATGCAAAACCAGTTGTTATCCATCTTTGTTTCGATAAACCTAGGCGTGGGTCATTAAGCAAGTAAGAAAGTGAATGATTTTTTCCAGTTAAACTACAGAACATTGCTTTTCAGTCGTTAATAGACAGTGTTCTATAATTCTATCACACCAAGTAAGCTGACATATGTGTTTGTAAATAATATATATGCTTTAAATCATATATTTTATTTTTTTAAATTATATAATTCAACTGATCTGCTCCGGTTACGTTCCCAGCTCCGGTTACGTTCCTAAGTAATATTTAAAAAAAAAAATTTTAATTAAACAAATCAGAGTCGTGTGAATCAGAAATAACAGAATTATTCAATAGTATAAGAACTATTCTGTACTTTTTTCAAAAGTCTATACTTAAATGTTGTAAAAAGTTATAATCGAAAAACCATCTTTCGGAGTAAAGTCCGTCTGCGCCGATTTCAATAACTTCGTACTTGATCAGAACTGGGTTCCAACATAATTCCTACAGACTCATGAATGAAATAGTTATTGTATGGAATACTTACTTTTGTCAAAATCAAAATAGAACTCTAGTTAAAAAATATATTGTGCTAAATTATTGCCATTTCTTAGTAAAATGTCGTTCTCCGGTACGTTGCCAAAATTATTCGATGGCACCCCGTGATAAAGGATTTCATGTTTGATTTCGCATGTATTCGATTCGGGTAAATTTTGGAGACTCCTGAGGAAAACATATGAAGGTATATCTAATAAGGTGGTTTTTGGAAATTTTTCAACTCCATGGTATGACTCAGAAACAGGTTTAAAACAAGGTTGCTGCCTTTCCCCAACATTATTTTCTATTATAATGACCGACTTATTAAGCTCACTTGAAAAGGAAAACATTGGCTTTGACTTTAAAGGTAAAAAAATTCCATCTTTATTTTTCGCCGATGATATAGTGCTTATGGGCGAGTCTGAGCAGCAATTGAATAAACTTTTAAAAGTAACTGACATTTTTGCAGTTGAATGGGGTTTTAAATTTAATTCGAAAAAATCGAAAGTAATGGTTATAGGGCAAAGAATCAATTATGAGAAAAATGGATATTAGGGGAACATGAATTGACAGAAGTAAAAGTCTACAAGTATTTGGGTATCTATTTTGACCGTTCTTTGAAGGATACTTACCACATTAAAGACACTTTAAAACCCAAGTCAAGAAGAATTCAAAATATGATTTGCTCTACACTGACAAAGCATTGTAATATGAAAAGAATTGATTTTGGCAATACAATGTATAACGGAATGTTTTTGCCTGCAATACTCCATGGTTGTGGAGTAATGTTACTGAATAAGACCACCGAAAAATATCTTAGCACTATGCAATACAAAATGGCTAAGGCCTTAATGCAACTCAAATGCAACCCTGCAAGAGAATCCCTCCTTGGTGACCTTGGGTGGAGACCAATCTGTGATATTATACATAAACGCCAGATTGATTATTTTATTTATTTAAAAAGTTCCTTGAAGAATGGACTCCATAAAGATATTTTCAATTATTTGCTACATGAGTTTAAGCTTGGTCACAAGGCCAGGCCTGTCAACTTGGGAACACCTAACATGAGTGACTTGGAAATGTTGAACACCTCCCCTCAAAATGTGGACACCTTGGTCCAAATCTGAACACCTTGATCCAAATTTTGAACACCTTGGTTTAAATTTTAGGACATCTTGCCAAATTTTGAACACCTCACTACGCTCGCGTTTCAAACATCCGTCAACGGGGGGGGGGGGGGGGTAGGTACGAAAAATTTCGAACGGAATGCGTGACATATACGTAATTCGCGTGAAAAGTCCGAACGAAATGCGTACGTTTTTTTCCGGCGTTCGTATTTTTGCTGTGTAGACGATCTTTTTTAGAAATTTTTCTACAGAAATATTTTTGCTTGACAATTACCAGGTAAAAT